AAAAAAAAGACAATGCTTGGCATATTTGCCAAGTCAGTGTTAAGACTTTTGAGAGAGATAAACTTGAGTTTCTCCAGCCTCTGAGTGTTTCACTTGGTCTCTTGACACTTTATTCATGTCTCTATATTACAACATTTACTTATCTGTTCTAATTATCATGCATGCATTTGTGGTCACTTTATTAGAGTAAGAATATTTTTATTATTCTTAAAAAAAATTTTTTTTGGTCGGTTGTGGGGCCTGAAAGCTGGGCCTGGGCGCTGTCCCTCAGCTCTTCAGCTGAAGGCTAGCACTCTAACACTTGAGCCACAGCCCCACTTCTGACTTTTTCTGCTTATGTGGTGCTGAGGACTGGAACCCAGTGCCTCATGCTTGCAAGGCAAGCACTCTACTACTGAGCCACCTTCCCAGCCCCTCTTAAAATTTTTTTTATTGTAAAGGTGATGTACAGAGGGATTACAGTTACATAAATCAGGTAAAGAGCACACTTCTTTTTGGACAATGTCACCCCTTACTTCATCTTTTCCTCCTGTATTCACCCATAAGTTGTATAGCTCATTTTCTAGTGAGTCTAGTGAGTACCGTTGCTGCATTTGTTTACCCTTTGTCCCTCTATTTCTGCAGAGTAAGAGTATTTTTTAATTAATTTACTTATTGTTATTATAGAGGTGATGTACAGAGAGATTATAATTACTTGAGTCAAGTAATGAATATATTTCCTTTTGTACAGTGTCTGCTGTTCCCTCATTCTTTCCCAGTCCCTCCCTCCCATCTACCCCCAAGTTGTATAGTTCACTTTCATCCCTGTCTAGTGAGCTCCACTGCTACACATTTGACCATTTTTCCCTCCCCCTTCTTGAAGATATACATGTGAAAGAGTTTTTTGTTTTGGCAAGTCCTGGGGCTTGAACTCAGGGCCTGGGCACTGTCCCTAAGATTCTTTTGCTCAAGGCTAGCACTTCACTTGAGCCACAGTACCACTTCTGGCTTTTTCTGTGTATGTGTACTGAGGAATCAATCCCAGGGCTTCATGCATTCTGGGCAAGCATTCTACCACTAAGCCACATTCCCAGTCCCGAAAGAATATTTCTTTTTTTTTTTTTTTGGGGGGGGGTGGTCTGGTCGTGCGGCCTGAAGGCTAGCGCTCTACCACTTGAGCCACAGTGCCACTTCTGGCTTTTTTCTTTTTGCTTATGTGGTGCTGAGGAATCGAACCCAGGGCCTCAGGCATGCAAGGCAAGCACTCTACCACTGAGCCACCTTCCCAGCTCTGAAAGAGTATTTCTTTCTTTCTTTCTTTTTTTTTTTTGTCAGTCGTGGGGCTTGAACTCTGGGCCTGGGCGCTGTCCCTCAGCTCTTCAGCTCAAGGCGAGCGCTCTACCACTTGAGCTACAGCGCCACTTCCTGTTTTCTGGTGGTTTATTGGAGATAGGAGTCTCATGGTCTTTCCTGCCTGGGCTGGCTTTGAACCGAGATCCTCAGATCTCAGCCTCCTGAGTAGCTAGGATTACAGGCGTGAGCCACCAGCGCCCCGCTTGAAAGAGTATTTCTTAAAGCTAATTCTTCACAAGCATTTAGACCATGGCCTGCTGTTTAGAAGGAACTCATATAGTTGTTTAATTATGTAATTTTTTTGTATATATTTTTATTGTAAAAATACTGTACAGAGGGGTTACAGTTACATGAGTAAGGTAATGAGTACATTTCCTATCAAGCATTGTTACCTCCTCCTTTGTAATTATGTAATTTTTTTGCTGTTGATTTTTCTGTTTTCTTTTTTTTAATCAATCTCAATTTCTCCATTCACATAGTTGTTACTGTTGTTCTTTTTTTATTTTTCTCACATGCTGGGTCTCAGGGTCTGTTGTGCTAAGCAAGTGCTCTACCAGTGAATTATACCTCCAGCAATTTATAATATTCTATACTTGTTACTTTTTGTCTGTTTTTAAATGAGAGTAGTGTAATTACAGAAACAGGATCAGCTTATATTCAGTATTCAGCCACCAGGTTTTCTCAATCATATTAGGACCATAGTTTTAGACCAAACATTCTTTTTAGTGCGTACAATTTTCTATATTATGGCATCAGTACGTATGAGAGGAGTTTTTTTTTCTTTTTTCCTTTGGAGTTCTTGGTTGGAACAGATCTTACTAATAAAAAAAACATAGTAATTGGGAGCTGGGAAGGTGGCTCAGTGGTAGAGCACTTGCCTTGCATGCCTGAGGCCCTGGGTTCGATTCCTCAGCACCACATAAGAAAAAAGCCGGAAGTGGCGCTGTGGCAAGTGGTAGAGTGCTAGCGTTGAGCTGAGGGACAGTGCCCAAGCCCAGAGTTCAGGCCCCACGACCAGACCAAAAAACAAAAACAAACAAAAACTAGATAAAAATAAACAAAAAATATAAATAAATAAATAAAATTTAACAATGTAAATAAACAAAATTTAACAATGTAGACAAAGAAAATACCCAGGAAAATGAGTAAATCTCTAAGAGATTTGATTTTGAATTCAGGTTTATAGAGCATCTTCAGCAAAGAATTGTTGATTTTAGAGATGTGACAAGACAAAGGAAAAAGATTTTGAGTCTCTAGGAGTAGCAAATGGTGGGAAGACAGATAAATGGTAGAGGAAGTCTCCTTGGTAAAAGTTCCTCATGTAGATTTGAGGTACTGGCTGGTAAAAGTCTGTCAAGAAACAAAATTAGGTAGAGCGCTAGCCTTGAGCTGAAGAGCTGAGGGACAGCGCTCAGGCCCAGAGATCAAGCCCCACGATCGACAAAAAAAAGAAAAGAAAAAAGAGAAAGACAAAAAATTAGCTAGATACTGGTGGTTTACGCCTGTAATTCTGGCCATTCAGGAGGCTGGGTTCTGACAGATTAAAGCCAGCCTGGTAGGAAAGTCTGTGAGACTCTGATCTCCAATTAACCACCAAAATAAAGGCCAGATGTACAACTGTGACTCAAGTGGTAGGTACAGTGCTAGCAGAGAGAGAGAGAGAGACAGAGACAGAGAGACAGACAGAGAGACAGAGACAGAGAGACAGAGACAGAGAGACAGACAGAGAGAGGAGTGGCGCAGAGTAGGGAGCATCCGGAGGACTGGAGGGACCTGGTCTGGGGTCTGCCGGGCAGGGGCAGGGACGGGGGGGAAGGCGGGGCGTGTGGCTTGTGCCTAACCTGGGCGGGGTCCGGGCGTACCGGATCGGAAACGGGGCGGAGCACGGGCGGAGCTATGGGCTCGGGGCGGGGCTAGAGAGCGCACGGAAGCTCTAGTGGGCGAGGACTGCGGGGACCTGGAGGCAGGCTGTCTGCAGCGCTCGGGGAGGCCATGGTGCGCTTCGCTCCCGAGCTGGTCTCGTCCTCGCTGGGGCTGGGGCTGCTTCTGTGCAGCTGGGGGTGCCTTGCGAGCGCCGAGTCGCGGGCCCCGCCGGAGAAGATCGGTAGGCCAGAAGGGGATGGCGCGGGCGGGGCGCTGGTCTCAGAGCCGAGACCCAAATCGGGACTACTGGGCGCACCGGGCTCGCCGCGGAGGATCCCATTTGGGGTGGCTTTCCATCTTCTTACGGGCAGGATCGTACTTTCCCTGCGGTGGATTGATGCCTGCTTTGGGGCCTGATGGGAGTAAGGACCAAGTGTCCCTACAGCCCCAGGCCTTTGTGAGGCCAATTCTAGCTGGTCCAGGAGCACCAGGCCGCTCCCACTGGGCAGGGATATCTAATGCCCGCACACCCTGCACGCCCAGCAAGCGCAAACAAGCCCACCCGGGCTGATCCCTTGACTGGTTGGAACCACACTCTCCTATCTCGGCTGTACCGGGATCGGTTCACAGAGGCCTCAGGCGTGCAGGGTTTTTTTTTTTTTTCCTCCCCCAGGGCTGCTGTAACTACCACAACCATCTCTGAGCTTTCTCCTTTCTCTCGCCTTGCATTGTTGCTTCCTGCTCCCCCTTCTCTCCAATTAAAGCTGTGCCCTTAGGGATCATTAATTCCACATTGGGTCCATACTGAGACAAAGAACAAAGCTAGGCGAACATGGCGGCCACTTTATTTAAAATGCGTACCAGAACCGTCCAGCAAGAGGGGTGTGCAGGTACCTTTGGTGCCTCCACAAAGACCCGTGAGAATCTTGGACATCTGAGTAAAAAAAAATGATAATGAATGTCAGTTTGTAATTTAAATCTACTACCTCTTTTGACTGGGAAGAGGGACTGTCCACATTCAGAGAGTTCTGTCTTCAGCCCAGAAGTCTTCCTTCCCCCAGGGTTGCCTAATTGTGGGTTGTAGTCTTGAGTAACCTCTATTATTAGTTAATGATCTTTCAAAAACAAACCCCACACTGGAGAGAGGGAAAAAAAAAAAGAAAACTTCCTTTTCCCCTCTCCTCTTTCAGCAATTGTTGGAGCTGGAATTGGAGGCACTTCAGCAGCCTATTATCTTCGGCAAAAATTTGGGAAAGATGTGAAAATTGATGTGTTTGAAAGAGAAGTGGTTGGAGGTCGTCTGGCCACTTTGTCGGTTCAAGGACATGACTATGAGGCTGGAGGGTCAGTCATCCATCCTTTAAATCTGCACATGAAGCGTTTTGTCAAAGACCTGGGTATGTAATTTTGGTTAGAGTTAAGCAGATTTCTGTGTGACAGTTACCATAGTTTTCCCATTCAGAGAATTGAAACTTTTCTGTTTCATTAATTGTATTTTTATGGAGAAGTTGTTCAAAAGTGTTGTCTTTACTGTTCAGTTAGCAGTCATACTGGCTTCATTGGAAGCCATTCTTCTGTAATGGGACACTGGGTATCTGGCTCTTCAGTTATCTGGAATTACAGACATGGGGGAGGGGTTGGGGATGGTTGCTGTTGGGTTTGTACTGAAAAATCAGAGTTTTGAGCAGAAACCTTCGAGTGCTTGTTTTAGGGCTGAGAAAATGAGATGCTAGGAAAGCCTAGTTTAAAGTCATTCACACAGCTATGCCTACAAACGTGTGCCCAGCACTGGGGAGGTCTGACTGTTGCCCTGCCAGCAGAGGAGCTGGACAGGTTACAAAGGAAGTATAGCAGGCCTCGGCAGGCCCTTTCCTCTGGGAATAATGTGTAATTTTGGCCTCCTTCCAGTAGCCTGAAATGTCCAGTTTTGCAAAGCAAGATATAAAATTGGAAAGGGAGTGCCTCTTTTCTCCCTCATCTGCCTTCTACATTGCTTGTGGACATTTCCATGTTCTCCATGGCTAAGAATAGGAGGTCTAATTTGATACATCTGTGTGATCTTGTGACCCATCTTGTAGCACATCTGCTTTTGGATAGTTCAGTGAGTGTAAGTGTATCACTGTTCTAAAGATAGAGTGTCTTCTGAGGTCTGAGGAGAGCCCCAAATCCACTTACCTACCCTTGCTCTGTTTTTGCAGGCCTTTCTACTATTCCAGCTTCTGGGGGCTTAATGGGAGTGTACAATGGAGAGAATCTGGTATTTGAAGAGAGCAGCTGGTTTATAATCAACATGATTAAACTCGTTTGGCGTTATGGATTTCAGTCCCTTCGAATGCATATGTGGGTAGAAGATGTGTTAGACAAATTTATGAGGTAATTTTTTTCCTTTCATTTAACCTATGATTTTTTTTTTTTGGTGAAGTTTTGGAATTTTCTTGGAGCAGTTCTCTACCTAACTGCCAGCCCTTTTCATAAGATATTAAACAAAATGCCTTGTAGAAAACATGCAGACCAGGGCTGGCATAGTGGCTCGTGACTGTAATTTCCCAAGAATTTAAACTTAATTTGTTACCACTACTATCCTAGGTAGGAAGAATTCAGGTGGCAGTTTTTCATATTTTTCCCTTCTCTCTTTTTTTGTTCTGGTCCTAGGGATTGAACTCGGGGGGCCTGGGTGCTGTCCCTTAGCTTCTTTTGCTCAAGGTTAGTGCTGTACTTCTTGTGCCACAGCTCCACTTCCAGGTTTTTTTTTTTTTTAGTGGAAATAAGAATCTTGCAGATTTTCCTGCTTAGGCTATCTTTGAACTGTGATCATCAGCTCTCAGCCTCCTGATTAGATAGGATAACAGGCATGAGCCACCAGCCCCTAGCTTTCTCTTTCCTTTTTGAAGTGCTGAATATTAAACTCAGGGTCTTGTACATAGTAGGCAAATGCTCCACCTCTGAGCTATGTCTTCATTCTAATGCTGACAATTTTTGCCAATGTTCTCATTGCTTTCATGGAGCAACAGATGATTAGAGGTCCTCACCTACCATTCTGGATAAATTCCAAGGTTCTCTTATTATTTTACTTTTCTGGATGTCTGCTTTAATTGCACTGGCCTGACTTTCTTGAAGATGCTAGGCAGGTTTCTTCTGTATAGTCTTTACCCTCTCACTCTTAGATGTTTGTGTGAACTCAATCTTTATATCCTTACATTCTTCACCTTTATCAGATGTGACCTTCTTTTCTCAGGTCAAATTTTTTTTTAAACCATCTTCTTTTTTTTTTTTGTCGGTCGTGGGGCTTGAACTCTGGGCCTGGGCGCTGTCCCTCAGCTCTTCAGCTCAAGGCGAGCGCTCTACCACTTGAGCTACAGCGCCACTTCCGGTTTTTTGGTGGTTTATTGGAGATAGGAGTCTCATGGTCTTTCCTGCCCGGGCTGGCTTTGAACCGCGATCCTCAGATCTCAGCCTCCTGAGTATCTAGGATTACAGGCGTGAGCCACCAGCGCCCTGCTAAACCATCTTCTTGAACATTGTAACCTTCCAACTTCATGCATTGCTAGACTTGAACTCAGGGACCAGGCACTGTCCTAAGATTTTGTGCTCAAGGCTAGCACTCAACCACTTGAGCCACAGCTCCACTTCTAGCTTTTTGGTGGTTAATTGGAGTCTCACAAATTTTCTTACCCAGGCGGGCTTCAAACCACAATCCTCAGATCTTAGCCTGCTGAGCTAGGCTTACAAGCATGAGCCACTGGTGCCCAGGTTAATTAATTTTTATTAATACTACCTGCACTATAGCTTATTTGCACTTAATTAATTTTTTATTGCTTCTTTCCTCAGTTACAACACAAACTTTCTGTGGTTAGTGATTGTTTTTATCTCTGTGGTGTTGACTTCTCTATCCTTACTAGACCATTGCCTGACTCAAAGACATTGTTCCATAAATGTTTCTTAAATAGATTAAATGAATAAATGTTGAGAGTTATACAAATGTCATCTGAGAAGAAAAAGACTGTATAGGCAATCTAACTAGCAGAAAGTACTGGCTAATTATATGTCTTATTTTGGTAATATTTATTCTAGTTCATCTGGTCTTTTTTTTTTTTTTTGGTTGTGGGGCTTGAACTCTGGGCCAAGGTGCTGTCCCTGAGATTTTCAACTAGTTCTCTACCACTTGAGCCATAGTGCCTCTTCTGGCTTTTTCTGTGTATCTGATACTGAGGAATCAAACCTGGGCCTTCATGCATGTTAGGCAAGCAGTCTAACTAGGCCACATTCCTAGCCCCTGCATCTGGTCTTATGCAACAGTTACAACACTGTTTATACGGGGTTTGTGTCTGGTCTTGTCTCCTCCGGCAGACCTTTTTTTTTTTTTTTTGAGTCTGGTCGTGGGGCCTGAACTCTGGGCCTGGGCGCTATCCCTCAGCTCTTCAGCTCAAGGCTAGTGCTCTACCACTTGAGCTACAGCGCCACTTCCGGCTCTTTTCTTTTTGCTTATGTGGGGCTGAGGAATCGAACCCAGGGCCTCATGCATGCAAGGCAAACACTCTACCACTGAGCCACCTTCCCAGCCCCCAGCAGACCTTTTTTTAAGTGACTTGATTAAATGAGGCTGCAGCTGAGTCAGGAGGAGATAGGGAATATGTGTCTTTTTTTTTGTTTGTTTTTGTAGGTTATTTAATGGGCTGCTATCATTGTCAGTTATTGAGTTGGCTATTATAGGTAGTATTGAAATGGTTATAGCATTGTCCCTTATTTTTTTTTTTTTAAGACAGTTTTCTTTAGAAAGAGCCTCCATGTAAAACACTTCTCCTGTGACTACTGAGAGGGATCTGTCTTTTACATGTTTTCCTTCCTTTGTTTCACCTAGTTGCCTGTTGGGCATAACTGTTAGCTTCTTTATTGTATTTTATTTTATTTTTTGGGTCTGGTCGTGGGGCCTGAACTCTGGGCCTGGGTGCTGTCCCTCAGCTCTTCAGCTCTACCACTTGAGCCACAGCACCACTTCCGGCTTTTTTCTTTTTGCTTATGTGGTGTTGAGGAATCCAACTCAGGACCTCATGCATGCAAGGCAAGCGCTCTACCACTGAGCCACCTTCTCAACCCATCTGTTAGCTTCTTCTACTACTTGCAACCTGAAAAGTTATGTATTGAACCACTACCTGCACTAATTTTTCTAACTGTTGTTGTTGTTTGTTTTTTTTCTTTCCTGCTCTTGGGGCTTGACTCTGGTAGGCCTTGGCGCTGTCCCTGAGCTTCTTTTGCTTAAGGCTAATGCTCTACACCACCACTTCCGGCTTTTTATGAGTAGTTTATTGGAGATAGGACTCTCATGGACTTTCTTGCCTGTCTGTCTTCGAACCACAATCCTTAATCTCAGCCTCCTGAGTAGCTAGGATTACCGGTGTGAGCCACTGGTGCCCAGCTACATCAAAATGTTTTATCAAACCCATAAAGTGCAGAGAAATAGGGATGTTTTCTGAAAAGCCTATATGAAGTGATATACAAGTACTGAGCAAATGCCATTGATGCTAAGTTTTGTAGACTTTTGGAGATATTGCCATTCCTGTTACCAGGAAGTTAGGACTTTGCAGTGTAGGTGAGACTCAGGTTTCCTCAAAGAAGGGTAATTGTTCCAAGCTTGCAGTGGGAAGTGTATTTCAAAGGTAAGGAAGAACTCCTACAGAGCTGTGAGACTATATGTAAAGCATATATAGATCAGATTGAGCATGTATTGGATCAGGTGTGAGTGTGTGTGCGTGCACGCGCGTGCGCATATACGCATGCCTTCTAATTGTCATGTTACCTTTACACAAACCCTTTTACTTGAACTGTGTTTCTTTGCAATTAGGATAAAGGTTTTTTTTTTATACTTGATATGCTTCACTTTAACACCCACAATTATTCTTTTTTTCCTCCCAAAATTTTCTTTCTCTTCTCTTTTTACTGTCAGACTAGATGCTCCAGACTTTAAATATTTAGTTGTGAAAATTAGTAGGATAAATAGATGACAAAGTAGAAGTATTTTCGAGCTTTTGGGAGAATCATAAATACTTGAAAGAAAAGTAACCAGAATCAAGTAATCAGTTACTCATTTTACTTGTATGAGACTCAATCCTGACACAATCAAATGAGTAGAATGGAGAAACAAGAGATTGGTAAGGTTTCCTACTTGAGAGAGAAGCAGAATGGAGAAATGAAAAATCTTTAAGCTTTGGGACTAATTGAACTGAGATAACACATTCAGTATTTGGAATGGCCAATTATTTTTTGTTATATTTCAGATAGATAAAACCTGGTGGAAACATAAATGTAATTTTAGACATGACCTAAGGTTATTAGAAGATAGAAAGAATGAGAACAGGACATACCCATTGCTGTTTTGTTTTTTTTTTTGCTTGGTTGTGGGGCTTGAACTCTGGGCTTGGGCACTGTCCCTCAGCTCTTCAGCTCAAGGCGAGCGCTCTATCATTTGAGCTACAGCACCATTTCTGGTCTTCGAGTGGTTTATTTCTCACGGACTTTCTTGCCCAGGCTGGCTTTGAACCGAGATCCTCAGATCTCAGCCTCCTTGGTAGCTAGGATTGCACGTGTGAGCCACCAGCGCCTGGCATACCCATTGCTTTGAAGGTGCTCCTAGGGACTGTATTAATACAAAAAAAAAGAAGACTGCATATAGAGAACAGGAGACTTCTAAGCAAGTGGAGGGAGAGGGTGAGCCAGGAGCTTTTGCGAGATCTAGGAAGGTGGTGATTGAGCTGTGTCTCACACCATAGGTAAAAACACATGCTAAAGAAACATGAGATTCAGTTTGATTCTTTTTATCAGACAAAGTCTTTCAGTACAGCCCAGCTAGACCCAGAACTGGAAATCTTCCTGCCTCATCCTTTCAGTGTGGGAATTGCAGGTGATTGCCCCCATATCTGGCATCAGTATGATTTTATTTATTTATTTTTGGTTGGTTGTGGGGCTTAACTCAGGTCCTGGGCACTGTCTTTGAGTTCTTTTGTTCAAGTCTTATGCTTTACCACTTTGAGCCATAGTGCCACTTCTGGTTTTTGAGTGGTTAATTGGAGATAAGAGTCTCACAAGGACTTTTCTGCCCAGGCTGGCTTTGAAGGCTGATCCTCACATCTCAGCTTCCTAAGTAGCTCGGATTACAAGTGTGAGCCACTGGCACCTAGCTTAGTTTGATTCTTAAGCTGTTGTATATCCTCTTTACATGTCTTCTTTCCGTTTATCTAACCTGATATTTTACGGCCATTTCTTTTCTTTTCAAAAGGATTTACCGCTACCAGTCTCATGACTATGCCTTCAGTAGTGTAGAAAAGCTACTACATGCCATCGGAGGAGATGACTACCTTGTACTGGTTAATCAAACACTTCAAGAAAACTTGCAGAAAGCCGGCTTCTCTGAGAAATTCCTCAGTGAAATGATTGCTCCTATTATGAGGATCAATTTTGGCCAAAGCACAGATCTCAACGCCTTTGTGGGTAAGCCTAGGCTTGGAAAACTATTGAACATTATACACAGAGGGACTTAGTTAACATTATGGTGACTTCTGACTTTAGGTTGAAAAATTTCTTTCTCATAATCTCATATTATATACTTTTAGACAAGTATTTTTTCAGGGAGGGGGGTCTTTTACTAGTTTTTACTAGCTCAGTGCTGTAATCTGGGCAAGATTTTTTACCTCTAAAAGTCATTTGGGCAGTGTCTCGAACATTTGGAGTAGAGCATTTAATTGAGAAGGGAGAGTGGGTAGAGGGTTATATATAAAGTCAGAATTATAACATTTTTCCTCCTGCCAACAGGAGCAGTATCAATGACTGCTGCTGATTCGAACCTTTGGGCTGTGGAAGGTGGCAATAAAGTTGTTTGTTCACGGCTCATTCAGGCATCCAAAGCCAATCTTATATCTGGCTCAGTATTATCTGTAGAAGATAAAACAAAGACTAAGCAGAGAGGTGAGTTTGAATTTTTATGGTTCCTAGTTGCGTCTGCAGAAAAGATTGCTTAGGGAGAAAAACTTGTCGTCTGGCATCTAGGATTCAGTTCTAGATGATTGAACTTTAAATTGTTTGTGTTCTGCTTTGTAAAAATATTCCCAAATGTGCTCAAGTGCAGTGGCATGACTCTTTGGATATAAACTATAAACTATTTTCATACTCAAAAGAAAATATGTAAGCTGGGTGCTGGTGGCTCACGCCTGTAATCCTAGATACTCAGGAGATCTGAGGATCCCGGTTCAAAGCCAGCCTGGGCAGGAGAGACTGTGAGATTCCTATCTCCAATAAACCACCAGAAAACCGGAAGTGGTGCTGTAGCTCAAGTGGTAGAGCACTCGCCTAGAGCTGAAGAGCTGAAGGACAGTGTCCAGGCCCAGAGTTCAAGCCCCACGACCGACCAAAAAAAAAAAAAAAATGTAGTTGCTAACATTAGGCACTTGCCTTCAGTGTGTAAAATTGGATGAGGCAGTATCTTAAGGTATAAATCTCCCATTTTAGAATTGTAGAGAAATATTACAAGTTATAGAATTATTTTTAGAAATTGTAAAAATGTAGTTTCTGTAGTTAGAAACACTAAGAAATGTATGCTTCCTTATTTCTGTAGGAAATCCCACAAAAATGTATGAAGTGGTCTATAAAAGTGGATCTGAGACCAAATCGGATTTTTATGACATTGTCTTGGTGGCCACTCCATTGAGTCAAAAGATAGCCAATATAGCTTTCCTCAACTTTGATCCTCCAATTGAAGAATTCCACCAGAATTACCAACAAATAGTGACAACTTTTGTTAAAGGTGAATTGAATTCAACTCTATTCAGCTCCAGAGCCAAAGATCAGTTTGGTCTTTCTACTGTTTTAATCACCGATAATTCAGATATGTTCATCAACAGTCTTGGAATTGTGAACTCTGTCAAAGGAAAAGAACATCCTCCACCATCAACAGATGGAACACAAGTTTGGAAGACCTTTTCCCGAGAAATTCTTACTAAAGAACAAATTACAACGCTCTTCTTGTCCTATGATTATGCGGTGAGGAAGCCATGGCTTGCCTATCCTTACTACACCCCCCCGGAGAAGTGCCCTCCCATCCTCCTGCACGATCAGCTCTATTACCTCAATGGCATAGAGAGTGCAGCAAGTGCCATGGAAATGAGTGCCATTGCAGGCTACAATGCTGCTCTGCTTGCCTATCACCGTTGGAATGGCCACACGCACATGATTGACCAAGACAACTTGTATGAGAAACTAAAATCGGAGCTGTGAATGACACTCTCTTTCCCCCCTCTGCTTCCCACTGAGTATCACTGGCAAGAAAAGCAAAATTTGAGCAAAGGTTTTACAATCAGTTATTCTGCCATTATAATTGTTCAACAAAGCAATGCCTACGGATCCTAGATGATACAGGGTTCAAAGGATAACTCTTAGCCCATCTCCACAACTGAACTGTTCTTTTAATTTTTTTTTTCCTTTGGGTCCGGTCGTGGGGCCTGAACTCTGGGCCTGGGCACTGTCCCTTAGCTCTTCAGCTCAAGGCGAGCGCTTTACCACTTGAACCACAGCACCACTTCTGACTTTTTTCTTTTTGCTTATGTGGTGCTGAGGAATCGAACCCCGGGCTTCAGGCATGCAAGGCAAGCACTCTACCACTGAGCCACCTTCCCAGCCCCTGAACTGTTCTTTTAATATCCATGGGTAGTGATTTCCGAGATTGTCTCATCATAAAAATCACCTGGGGTTGATAAAAATGGACTTTCAGGCTTACTGTTGGAAATTCTGATTGTGTAGGTTGGATATAGGGCTCTGGTTTTGTTTAAAACTAGAGTAGTTTAAGATGAACACTTGAGTAACTTAAAATACCTTAGGATGGGACCAATTAGTTTATAGCTGGAATGATCTTTAATTAGGTAAAATGACTCTTAACACTTGATTTTTTTTTTTAAAGCTTGGCTATCAGTAATTTATAACTTTTTTTTTTTTTTTTGCCAGTACTAGGGTCTGAACTCAGAGACTGGGCACTGTCCCTGAGCTTCTTTAGTTCAAAGCTAGTACTCTACCACTTGAGCCACAGTGCTACTTCTGGCTTTTTCTGTTTATGTGGTACTGAGGAATTGAACCCAGGGCTTCATGCATGCTAGGCAAGCACTCTACCACTAGGCCACATTCCCAGCTTATACCTCTTTAATGGAACTGTGCCTGTGCCTAAAGCCTTGACTTTCAGAATGTGATCTTTTGATTGCTTCTGTCTTTATTTTAGTAGGTGTAACATTCAAGTCTTAGGAGTGTAATCTTTAAAATTTCATATAGAAATCTCCAGTGAAATGGAAAGTAAACACGGTCCATTGAATTAAGAAATTGTCATTCTAGTGCTAAGTCATGTAATAATTTTTTTTTGTCCCCTTCATGTTCTAGGTACTCCATACCTTACTTTTGTTGGGTAATTACTATACCATATTAACTTTACCCCCATCCCCAAGGCGTTTTACAATTGCTTTTAGGTCCCCACAACCAGGAATTGGGGTTTAGTGGATTGAGGATAGGATCTTGGTATTATAGCTTTGATGAATTCCCAATATGCAGCTAGAATTGTGAGAATCTTGTATATGGGTTTAAAATGTTTACAGTGGGTTTTTAGTGACCTCCCCTCAAAGTTCTGAGAACCCAAAGAATTATCACAGTAAATCCATTTCACAAGGAATGACTTAGTGAAGTTCTCATTAGATAGGAAGAAGTATTGACAGTGTTAATAGGTGCAGCAACATTGATAATCCCCAATTAGTTGAATCAGAGCAGAGTATTGGCAGTGACACCAAGCATGTCCAAATGTAGCTTGTGTCCCTAGAAAGAATACTTCAGTTGATGTAGTATGAGAAGTTGGTTGCTAAAATTACGGCATATCCAAGTCAACTTTGGGACTCACAGCTTTTCTTATGTAGCCAACCTTGAGGAACACACTTCTACATCTAGCATACAAAGATCGTGTCTGATATCACAGCCACTAGCAGAACAGAACACATGGAGCTTCTGAATAACAGGCTGTGATCACATACTATTACAAAAAATGACTTCACCATTGTGACAATAACTACTTTAGCAAAATGGTGTTAAGAGAACATTGATTCTTGGTAAAAAATTATTTCTTCCCTATTATAATTGTGAATGTTAATATACTGATAAAGCTGCCAAAATATATTTGATACAGAGGCAGGAAATCACAGTTTATCAAAAAGTTATATTTTTGTTAAATTTATTCTTTTTTTTTTTGCTGACCTTGGGGCTTGAACTCTGGGCCTAAGTGCTGTCCTTGAGCTTCTTTTGCTCAAGGCTAGCACTCTACCACTTGAGCCACAGCGCCACTTCTGGCTTTTTTTAGTAGTTTTTTGGAGATAAGAAGCTCATGGAGTTTCCTGCCGGAGTTGGCTTCAAACCACGATCCTCAGATCTCAGCCTCCTGAGTAGCTAGGATTAAAGGTGTGAGCCACTGGTGCCCACCTTGAAATTCCTTTTTGTAAACTAAAATAGGTTATGAGTACATCAAACATATTAAATACTTTCAATGTTTTTTTTTTTAATTTTACTTTAGAAGCTTTTATTTCTAGACTTGTTGCTTCTAGTAGGTTAATCTAAATCTTTTTGGTGGTTTGTAATGGATTATCATGGGGGGAAACTTTCAATGTTAAGTGCAGTATTAAAGAGAATATTTTCTTGTGGAAGATAAATACTATTGAGTCTGCAGTTCCAGGAATAGATAGGTTGTTTGTTCTTTGTTTGTTTACAATTTCATATGAGATTTATTTTCCCTTAGAAAAACTAGAGTGATCCCCCCCCCCATTTGAAACCTCAGTAAATCAGTGTGTGTGATCCATACTGGTTGAGACTGCCAATTCTACAGAGAAAGGACCATTGAGAGAATTTGATCTGGGCAGTCTTTAGAGTCTACTGGTAATGGGGTTTAGTGAGGGCAATGCTTGCCCTTCATTCCTTTAACAGCGCTGAAAGAGCATCACGTCCCCAGTGTGTAGGAAAGAGGATTAAATTGTCTAGTTCCAAGTTCAGGTTCAGTTATTAGGTAGTTTTAGTAATTACACTACCACCAAATAATCTTACTAAAGAATCATACTATCAGGATTTGCTAAGTCCAGGAGATCACTTTTATCTTTGTGCTGAAGAGTGGTAAAAATAATGCAGGGGAGAAATGGAAGCCAGTTCTACCCCAGTGCTTTTCCAACTGAATTGAGTATGCATCAGAATTACCTAGACTGGTAAATAAAACATTACTGGACACCAGTCTCCGAATTTGCTACTTAACAAGTATATAGTAAAATACAAAAGATGGTATTTCCATGAAATCCCAGGTGATACTGCTGTTCTAGGGGCCACATGTAAGAGAATTACTTCTACGATTCAGCATCTGTCCTTCATTGCAAACACTCAATATCAGTTAAGATTTAGAGATGATGAAAAATTGAAGAATGAAAATACTGGACCTTATATCTACACTGCTTATTATGATTAAACTAGTGTGATTCCTTTAACTGATCTTTTGTAAACATTTCTATAGCTAGAAATTACTGTATGTATGCACCATTTGTTGTGTTGCTTTAAATAAGCCTTCCTATTCACTTGTGTATACACTACTCTCCATTGTTTTAAACTGATTGGAGATTTGTAGGCTTTTTACCAGATCTTAAAAAGAATGGGCCTTAGCCTTGGTTTGGAATGGTTAGGCTTAGACCATAACCACCTGTCATGCATCTCTCATGTGAGCTTGTGAATCATAACGAAAAAGTCATGGACTAGATGACTCAATTATAGATAGCATTCTCACTGCTCTTCTGTGCTCACCAAGAGCCACAATACACTGGAATGTTTTTCTCTGAATTCTATTTCTAATATTCAAACGTTTTCCCCACTCAATGATTATGTTAAAAATAAACAATGATGTGGTTATTCCAGTGTGTTAATTCTTTTGTACTAGACTTGTGTGAGTGTGCAAGGTGAATAACCCTATCCAAAGTACTCCAAAATCTGAAGCTTTCCGAGCACCAGCATGGCACAGGGGAAAATTACAACTGTGATTTCACGTGATTGGTCACATTTATAATGCAAGCACACTGAAAATAATTACAAAATTACATTCAGGTTACATGCATAAGTGAAGCATGAATGGATTTGATGATTTGTCTTCTAGTTCAAGACATGTCATAATATATATTAATATGTATATAATATGAAATCCGAAATTTGTGCTTTTTGAAACAATTTTGCTTAAGGAAACATTTTGCTTAAGGAAACAATCAGTACAGAGAAAAGTCACAGTAGATGGAAGTTAATAGAGTTCATATTCCAGAAGAAACTCATTCATGTTTTGAGATTCTCTGTTCAGTGTTGAACATGAAGAAATCCTTGCCATATTTCCACTTTGTAACATTGTTCCATTTTAATTCAGAAAACTTGAGTCAGGTGAGATAGAAAAATTCATGTGAGATAGAAAAACAGTTAATTATTTCTGTGTCCAGAATACTGGAAGAAGCATTTTGGCTTACAAAAGTTTATTTCCAAAAACAATAGGAAAATGTACATGGCCCAATTTTTACATTATGGTAAAAAGGGTCTTTCTTTTGGGGGGGGGCTCCGGTCATGGGGCCTGAACTCTGGGCCTAAGCGCTGTCCCTCAGCTCTTCAGCTCAAGGCTAGTGCCCTACCACTTGAGCCACAGTGCCACTTCCGGCTTTTTTGTTTTTGCTTATGTGGTGCTGAGGAATCAAACCCAGGGCCTCATGCATGCAAGGCAAGAACTCTACCACTGAGCCACCTTCCCAGCCTCATAAAAAGGGTCTTTTGCAGAAGATGTGAGTTTTTCTGCTGAATGGTCATTATTAAGCTGCTTCAAGACTTCTAACATATTTCTTCATATTTCCTAGGAACGAGAAGTAAAATAGAAAAGAACAACACATTTAAGAGACCAATCATTAAGTCAGATTATACCAAATCATTAATGATTTTTTAAAATTACATGTTAGTTTGTGAGACTTTTTAAAAAAGCCATTATGGAAACCCAGTCCTTTTTTTTTTTTAATCAATGAAATAAGCCACTAAACCTATTGGGAGGTTGACAATGAGATCATAGGCCAATTAAGTGCCAGGTCACAGTGACTGCAGATCACAAACCAACATGTACATTCTTGTTAATGGCTTCAAAACTGAATGGGAAATACAGGTACAGTAGGATATGTATGTGAGTATAGGCCTGTCAGATCGTTAGGAAATAAATCATGATAAAAGTTGCTTGTGAAAAGCAAACTGGTGGTGACATTCTAGCTGGTCCTAGTCAATTGGGCAGAATCATCAAGAAGATGGGAAACTCCAGATGAAGCTGAGATGAAGACAGTATAATAAGATCAGGAGAGAATCCCAAAAGCCAATCTTAAAAGCCAGGGACATCATGAAACCAACAATTGCCAATTCAGATTTATTCACTAATGAGATCATGTC